CAAAATACAAAATTATGATAATGTATATTTCTATTGGAGTTGTGCCGACAACATAGGAAAAATATTGAAAAAATGAAACAAAATGCACATCAATAAATATTAACTTAAAAATTTCAAAACTTCACTTTTTTTTTTGGGAACGATGGTGAATTTATATATCAAAACGCACAAATGTGCAAATGGTACAACCCGTAGTGGAATAATATTACTAAAAACTGAATAAATAGGGAGGACAGGTCAGAAGATCGCCTAGAACATACATTAGAAACTCTAGAAACAAAAAACAAGACTCACGACCCGACTGACACAACAAACACTAATAAAAACTACCAAGCTACCAAAAGGAGAATAGAGACGATCCCAAAAAGATAATGCCCGTTCTCACTCGGGCTCATAGAGACAACACTTTAAACCAATAAACACAGAATCTAGACAACAACGAACAAGACAACACAAACTAAAACTAAGAAATACAAAACGAACAAAACAGACAGGCAGAACCCTTTCCAGCAGGATAACGGAGCCTAGCACAAGGCACCAACGAAATAAAGACCAACCATACAACAACTTGACTTGAAATCTAGAACGCCACTCCCGCCACTGCTTAAATGCCTAGAAAATGACGAGTCCTGAACCTTAAACCACTCCTAGGATGAAGCCGACCCAAAGTCGGACAAACATTGGCCAGACCCCACCCGCACAACCCTCCACCCCGAACCTGACCATCACCACTGGTCCAAATCCGACAATGACGATCTTCCCCTTTCTTCACACCAAAAGAAGTAGAGAAACGGGGGATCGAACCACGCCCTTCAGCTGGGATTTTATTTTCATCTTATTAATAAGGTGGGGTTTTTTATTATTTGTCTAGCGGCAGATTATATTAATAAAACACAAAAAAAAGGACAACAGCCGAAAGAACAACAAACAACTGTAAAGGGAGGCCTACGATTCGAGGCGATTGTAGCCTAGAGCCTAAACAAGACTAAACAACTTGCAACACTAGAAAAAAAAAACTCCCACATGTGGAGAAAGCAACCTCCCAGACGGGAGAACAAAAGCACAAACATAAAATAACACAAACACTAAAATATAAACACACACTACACTCTATAAACTAGGCTAAACTAAAGTTCTCCCCTTCGGCTAAGAACACCGAGCATCTCCACAAACCTACAAAACCTAACGAGATCCGCTAAGGAGAAGTCCCACATCCCACGACACAGCACAACCTTTCCCAGCAAACCACCGCCTTAACCCCCCTCCCCCCCTCCCCCCAACACCACCACCAACGCCTCCGGAGGAAACGACATTCCCAACAACAGAGAAGGCCGAATAATACTATTGCACTCCCTTTTCCTATCCCAAATTATATTTGAGACTCCAATAATAATTACTGAATTACCTCCCCATGTTTAAGATATGATGTCCATTAATTAATTCAATTACTAATAATCAAGAATTAATTAATATATTATATTACCACAGCTAGCGCTCGTTCATTGCATTATTATTATGCTGAAACTTAATCCACCTGCAGGGTTTGGCATAATAATTCTTCACGAACTCACTTCGGGAACATCATCAAACTAACGCACATGGTGACTGTAAATATCCTAACAACATATCATACATACAACAACATCACCCAAGATAGTAAGACTATTGATCCAGCGAACTGAATCTCACCCAAGTGAATCAAAGTAATAAGTACTGCACGTACATGTCTGTTTATTATCTTACGGGTTAAGAGAACGCAGTAATTAACTGAGGCCTAATTCGATTACGACGATCAGTATAAACCGAAATTCTCCTCTTTGGGATCCGTTTAATACATAAATGTACTAGTGCAACTAATCAGGCAAGACCAGCTGTACCGTTGACACTACAATCGTTCTGATGGGGTGTTCATTTCCATATAGGTTGTGAACCATAAAATAGTGTTTCATAAGTAAGTGATAGAATGATCTTCTGTTCACACGATGATGACCCATTCTATCTAAGTGCAAAACAACAGAACATAAAACTTGTTTAATCGAACATGATTCTCATTCATAAAGGGCATAAGTGCAATATCATTCAAAGCCAAGCTTTTAGTATATAACACCAACATGTAGATCTCTCTGTTGTTTAAATATGGAACCATTAAAGCTGATAAAAGCCACCAACCGGCTGCCTAACAAGTCACATCCTCAAAAATCTAAGTTTTGTATGGATTTGCGCGATGCCAATCGAAACCCCTAGTTGGTATAAATAATTTTTACTTTATTTTCTTGTTTTCGGGAATAAATAGGGCTACCTACGACTCTAAAAAGTCAAGACACACACATACGCACACAAACACATAAACAAAAAAAAAAGAAAAGAAAAAAAAACTCGACAAATACTTTCAATAAACATTCTTCTGAGAGTTTATTTTCCTTGACAATTACCATAAAAGATTGGTGACATCGGCATATCTATATTTTTCAAGCTTTTATTTTGTTTTTAATTCTATTCACTCTGCTGTAAGCCCAAATTAAACTGCCTAATAAATATCATCTGTAACCGTTGGCGGCCGACGGTCAACAAAAGCCACAAAACTTGGAGGCTCAAATGCTGTTGAGTGATTTGAAGATGGTAGAACGAAGGATGCAAACGACCATGCTAACTACTGTAGAGGATGAAGAAGAATACATATCAGATTTCAATAGTACGAGTGGAACCGTCAGAATCGAATGTGGCTACAAGACCTACGATTACTAGATCATCGGTTCAACAATGCATCATATCATCTGCTTCCATCAAGATAAGTAAAGTAAGAGAACTGCGAGGACTTTGATTGCCAAGGTAAGGAATACCTATGCAACTGACAAATTATAAGTTAAAATATAAATTTTAACCCAAAATATTCTTCAACTTAATTGATATTAACTTACTATATGTCAATTAAGTCTATGTCCTAGTTCTTAATTACTGCCCCTCCATTTTTTCTAAACTACCCAAAACTGGTTCAGCCCTGAATTGGCCTAGGAATGACGGTCCATTGAACCGGCCTGGAACTGCCAGTTCATTGACCCGACCGTGCATATGATAGGGTTGTTTCAAGGCCCTCCAAACCTCATATCGGACTAGCGGTTCCGACTCACAACTAGTCCAAAATTGAATTTTGGCCACTAAGTGATTGAAAATATCGTTAACCGAGCATTATTCAATGTAATAACACAAAATACAAAATTATGATAATGTATATTTCTATTGGAGTTGTGCCGACAACATAGGAAAAATATTGAAAAAATGAAACAA